TATTCTCACTGTTAGGAAGTTTATTCTTAATTTTAGGTTGCTTCTCTCATTGATTAGTTTCCATCCATTATTTCTTGTCCTGCCCATGATGCTTTGGAAAATAAGCTGACCCCTCTTCTTTGTGGCAGTCTCTCAAATACTGGAATACTGTAGGTCACCCAGCTGACTGTGTACCTAAGTCAGGGCTAGAACTTACAGTATCCCAATTTGTAGCGTGGTGCCTTAACCATTAGACCAAACTGGCTATCAAGTTTGGAATAAAACTGGGCTAAATGGATCAATCTGGCAAAAAAAATGTTAGAAAAATGCAGGTAGTACTGGAAGATTGAGACAGTCAATTAGGAATAATGCGGTTCACAGATAGTTTTATTTTAAAAAAGAAAAGAAAGAGAAGGTCATATGGACACTTAACAGTCCAGGGGAAAAGCTTCCCAGTTTTATGACTCAGACAGATTTATGTGGAATAAAGTGATTCCAAGCCCTTAGGAATGTAAAGGCTATAACCAGTGCTATGATTTCCGCCCAAAAGCAAACTTATTAGCAACTGATGCAAGAACAGCGTTATATGCTCCTTTCTTTCAAAGCTAATCAAAATCTTAGCATAATTCGAAATACTTGCAGTTGCTAAAAAAACCAGAAGTTGACATGTCTCTTATTTGTTTGCTTATATAATGTTTAGTTTTTCATTAAATGTCACATTTTATGTCCATCTTTTTCTACAATGTAAAAAACTTCTAATAGAGCCTCCCAATATTTAATTTGGATGCTTAATTTTAATTAAGAATTTTTCTAGGCCAGATTAACTAGGTTTTTGAAATAGTTCTTCATAGTATTAAGCCTCTTATCTTAGGCTTCAATCTATTCGAAATACCAAATTAAAGGAAAGTAAAAAAATTACATCCCAGTACAAACATGTTAATTTACTTTCTGATTAGCTTACAGAAATCTCCAAAAATAAGTTTTGAGATAAGCCTTTGTTTCAAAAAGCATGCATACTTTAATACATTTGATTATTTTCATCAAGTTACAGATTTCCAAAATAAATAGTAGGCAGATTATACTGGACAGTATTTTCATTTCCAGATAAAACTATAACATCCTTTCTGGTGGAGAAACAGTGTGGTTTCACTGTTATTAGAACTCATAGGACTATATTTGAATTTTGAAAAATTATGGCCTATCATTTTGCACTGTATTTGGATTAGAATTCACTCAATTAAAAAGTTTCCATCATACAGATAACTGGTAAATTAACAAGAAAGATAGACTAGAAGAGGGAGGGGAGTATTATTCATAAACATTTCATTTGCATATTCCTAAACATTTCATTGTAAAGCCTAGCTTGCAATTTGAAGGTTGGAAATCCATCATCAATCTATTATTTCATCTATGAATTATGAACAAGCAGAGCAAGTATCATAAAGTAAAACAACAAGCTTAATCTGCCACCCTTTTCAAATATTTCCCACTTGTGAAGTAAAGATTCCTTTCTGGGGTTTTTTGACTGACGCTTTTCTAGATTTCTCTCCCATGGTGACCATGTAGGACTATGTAGGAATGCTGAACTTTAATCAGGCTGAGGACTGGATTTGGCATTTGAATAGTGCTGCAAATTCTATTCCCCAACTAATAGATGGGGCTAATACAAGCATTTCAACATTTCATTTAAATGTGATTCAATGTAAACAAAATCAAATGTAATTAATATGAAAACTCTTGAAGTTTCCTCTTTTATCACTTGAAAAAATTCAGTTTCCTCACAATATGGGGAAAGGAGCCAAGGGTTTAAGAGCAAAATGCAACCTAAGGTCTTAGATTATTATGTTCCTTTTCCACAGGTGATAGGGCTAGATTTGACCCATTTTAGGAGTTATACGTCTTTACATCTGGAGAATCAAACCTAATCCCCCTGACCTCTGTTCTACTTACAGAATGTCCTTTTGATTTGCTTCAGTACAATGAGAGTTAACGCTTGAGTGGTATTCCCAAAAATCGATGATAAATTCTTTGCCAGATTGAATTTAACAGACTGGATTTTATTATGATCTCCTTATCAAAATTAAGTAGTTTTCTAATGAGCTAGTATTCAAATCCATTAGAAGTCAAATGCAGGGTTGAAATCTAAAATTTGTTACTACCGGTTCTTTGGGCATGGCTTGGTGGGAGGATAATGTGACTGGGTGGGCGTGGCCAGCTTTTTTTTTTTTTTTACTGTTAAAAGCATTTTTTCTACAACTTTAAGAGGTTGCAGAAAAAAATGCTTTTAGAAGCTTCTGACGATCAGGCAAATCAGCTGGGATCGCCAGAGGCTTTTAAAGGCATTTTTTTTCCTACAACCTCTTCAACCGAAGGGGTTGCAGAAAAAAATGCTTTGAAAAGCCTTTGACAATCCCAGCTGAGCCGCGCGATCGTCAGAGGCGTTTTTTTTTTTTTTACTTAAAAAGCATTTTTTCGGCTGAAGAGGTTGTAGAAAAACCGCTTTTAAAAGTAACAAAAACCAGCCTCTGATGATCGTGTGGCTCAGCTGGGCATGGGGGTGGGGGGCGCAGGGATTTTTGCTACCGGTTCTCCAAACCACCTGCTGCCATTGCTACCGGATCGGGCGATCCGGTCCAAACCGGGAGCATTTCACCCCTGGTCAAATGGCTGAAATGGCAACAGTGACTATTTTGATTAAAGAAAAAAATATAAGTACTTTTATTTCCACATGGAGACCGCTTCTGAACTTTGTGCTTGAAGTGGAAAAGAATGAAACTTTGATTTTGGGTTTTACAGATTAGATTGATAGATCTTTATAGAAATGGCTTTTTCATATTATTATGAAAAAACAAAAAGTTGTGATTTGATGATAATGCCTTATTTTACTGCAACAGAGAGAGTCAAAAGTCAGTGTTTCTTTTTCTCTTATCCTCCTTCACTTTTCTTCCCCTTCTCCCTCTCCACCATTTTCCTATTTACTTTCGCATTTTATATCTTATTTTATCTTATAACCCAATAAAAATGGGTTATTGGGTTATAAATCATAAAAAAGAAGGAACTAGCCAAGGAAACTTTATCCACAATCTGGTTTAATTAAGATTCATAGAATAACATTTAATGCTTTGAGATGCAAGCAATTTTGTCTTGTTGAAGTTGGTGCTTTAAATCCAGGTGTTGTTTTAAAGCATCTGCCAAACTCATATTGTTACGGATTAATATTACAGTTTCAAGTATCATTTGTTCCTTCTCATATAATAGTTGAAGATTACAAAGATTAAATCTTTAATTTGGTTTTGATCAGAAAAGAATTGTGTACATTCCACATGGAAAAGTAATGTCTAAAATTTCTTCATTGGTTCAGGGAACCCAACCACAGATATTTAGTGGGAAAGATGAATATGTGTAGAAATATTAACTGATTTGGTTTGCAAGTTGCAGTCAGAAGTGTGTATCTTTAGTAGCTGTTGGAAATTCTGCCCAAGTGTAATTCAAGTACCTGATCAGACAATAGGAATTGCTGTATTCATCATTCTATTTCATGTGAACCTTTGCTTGCTGGATAATGAATTTTTGCCTTTTTCATGATGCTGTTTAAGAAGTTTGTTAATTAAATTCCAGTCAAAACATTCATTTTTAGTACTCAGCTTTGAGGAAGAGTTGTAAAATTATGTTCATACTCTCTGTTCTGTACTGGGCAGAGTCTGCCTTATGGAGTACTTAGATATGATGAAGCGAATCACCCTGCGAGAGTCAGAATAAAAGAATTTGGAAAGATGGAAGTAACAGTTCCATTTCAATTAAGAGATCCCTAGAACCCAAATTCAAAGTTCAACTCACATGGGGTTCCATACAGAAACAGGAAGCAATATATCCTACCTAGGAGACAGGCAGCAGGCCAGTGAATAGTCATTGTTCTAGCATTTTCTAGCATTTTCTGAAATGGAGGGGTTTATATCTCAATTTCCTGTGTCCCTCCTGAAACATGATCTGTTGATTTTCACTTACAGTATAAGACATATAAACATTGCATTGCCTACCCAGGAACTGGTAGAACCTACTGTTTATACTCTGAGATTCAAAAATATTTCTTTTAGAATTAGAATTGAGAATCTGCAGGTACAAGAATATACTTCTGACAGATTAGGTGTTCCTGTTCACCTCAGGGTTTCCATACAGTAGCTGGTTTCTCTTAGTTAAGAAATGACTAAGGAAATTCCAGTTCTTGTTGTAATTAGAAGGTTTCTGGTGGAACAGAGCAATATCTAGGTAATGTTGAGGCTGTGTCTGTATTAAATTCAGTTTGCTAAGGAAAATACATTAATGATTTTATAGTTCTGACCAGCAATATAGTTTTTCCAGGTATAAACTGTGGATTGAAATTCCATTCCCTTGCTCTTTTTAGCATTCTTTAATAGGCCACAAACCAGGAATGCTCAGTTATGCAAATTCCATCTGCCCACCAGAATATTTATGGCAGCTCCCTTTCAATACCTTTCCCAAGGGAATTCTATCAGCTGCTTTTTAAAAACGTAAGCATTTTTAAAATTAAGTGGTGTTTGAATGCAATGAATGCTAAGACAAATGCTAAAAACAGATTCTTGGACATGGATAGGTCAAACATGTGGCATATTCAAAAACAGGGAGGCAGGGAATGCTGCGGGTCCCATCCCCTAGGGAGATACACAGGTGGGACCCAAAAGAAGGGCCTTCTCTATGGTGGCTCCCTCTCCCTGGAACATCATTCCCCCAGAGATTAGAACGTCCCCATTCTAATACTCTTCCAGAAGGTGCTGAAGACCTGGTTCTGCCAGCGGGCCTGGGGAACCCAGGGTGGGATGGAGCCCATTAAATGACTTGTTTGATCTGCTGTCTCCAGGTCAGGGGGCAGAGGGGGCTGATTTTATTATATTAATTTATTTGATTCTTTTTATTAGTTTTATTGTTTTAAATGAGGTTTTATGTTCTGTAAGCCGCCTTGAATACATAAATATTCAACCATGATCTTACTTTCTACCTTTCAGAAAACGGTGGAATATATTTTCCTGAAGTGAAAAGCAACCCAGGAAAATATCTACAGTCTTGTCCTGATTCTGTCAAAAAATGGTTAAGAAGATTGAAGGAGAGTGGAAAGATTCTGCTATTAATTACTAGCTCTCATTCTGACTATTGCAGACTATTATGCGAGTACACTTTAGGGTAAGTGAATGTTGTGTTACTTCAGTCTTCTTTTTGCCTGCGAGTAGTATAACAGTTAAAAACAGTTCATGGTAATGAAATCTTTCTTCCTGCATGCTCTGTTAGTTATTTGGAGCATTCCTCTAAATCTCTCAACCTGAGTAAGGATGGCTGGAAGCCACCAACAATATTACTTGAAGTTGCTATTTCTCCTTCTTGAGAGAGAGGGTTAGAAACCTATCCAATAAGTCCTTTTATTCCATGTGTATGAAAGAGTTTTAGAATGAGATGATTATTATAAATAGATACCAAGTTCTATTATACCTGAATACTAAATATGAAGTTTGAAACCAAATTGCTTGTTTCTTTCTGTGTAAGTAGAACAAACTCCTCAGAAGGCTGCACAGGACACTAGCTTGACTCCTGTCATATTAGTGATCTAAGTAATATTCAATACTAGGGCCTACTTTGGTTGCTTTCATTGCGATTTCATTGAAATTCATGAGCAGATTCAGCAGAAATATATCAGAATAGAAAGTCCTTATAGAACGCATTTCGCTTCATTTTTCCTCACTTCTGAATTTCTGTACACAGAATGCTGGAAATCCCCCAAATCCCTTCCAGATGTTTCTTTTCTTTCTTCCTTTTTTTTTTTTTTGCAATGATTCTGCAAATACCATATTCCCCATATTATACAATATTGTCAGGCATTCTCAGGACCAATCTAGAAAGTATGAATAACATGGGGACTCAGATCCTTTGTGCAGTTATTTGGCTGGAATATCTATTGGCTTAGTTCAGTGGGTTATATATCTGTTTTGGTGGTTTGCTGCGGCACCTTGGAGATGCATTAAGGCAGGGGTGCCCAACCCCCAGGCCATTTCGTTCTCTGGCCTGTTAAGAATTGGGCCGCAGAGTTGAAATTGAGCAGCGGAGGAGTGAGCAAAGCCGAAACCATGTCCTCCCTCTTCCCCACCCCTCCCGGTCTGTGAAAAAATTGTCTTCCACAAAACCGGTCCCTGGTGCCAAAAAGGTTGTCGGGGGCGCTGCATTAAGGTTATTCTTAATTGTGTTTTGCCTTTTTCATTTTATTTATTTATTTATTCAATTTGCATGGCTGGCCATCTCACCTTTTAAGATCCTTTATAATGCATTTTTGTGGCTTGTCATTAACCTCCCAGAATTATGTATTTTAAGATGGGCAACCACGTACAATTATTAAGTAAATAATCTATGAGGCCTTGTTATTTGGTTGCTAGCAGCTAATTAATCTAGATTTCTTAGTATGTCGTTAACAGAAATAATTCATTGGAAATGGATATTTATTTCATACTTTTGTTGAATCTTTACTACTTCCCTGATGTGTTCCTTCAGAAAGGAGGCTCAGTGGTTTTATGACGCTGGAGATAATCTCTGCACCAGCAATTTGAGTCCTTGCATTGTGTGACTGGGTGAAATTCCGTCACTCACTTCAGCTTCTGCCCACCTAGCAGTTCAAAAGCATGTTCTATGCGAGTAGATAAATAGGTACCAATTTGGTGGAGCAAAAAGCTGGCGCTTTGTGTAGCGCTTAGAATCCTGCCGGCACTGAACCTTCCCAGTTGTGATGCTCATTTATGAGGCAGCTTCAGTGGAGGGAGAAGGGCCTTGGATGATGCCGCAGGAAAACCTGTTCATCTTTCTTTCTGGAAGGAAGGTAGCTTGCCTCTCCTGTGGCACACTGTAGGAAGCATGCAAATATGTACCTAACAAAGCTGCTAATCAAGCTCACTATTACTCTGCATTAGCATTGTAATCTCCTGGCTACTGTAACAACGCCATATGCTAAATTTAAAAAAATCCTTCAAAAGACTGGGCTGTTTATTAACTGCATGCAGATAACCCATATAAGATATACCTGCATATATCTAGTCTTTAGCTGAATATATTGTCGCAATTTTCACCAAGGGAGAACAACAATTGAAATGTTGTTTGTGTTTAGTCAGGCAGATGAAAATATCAATTTAATTTGTTTTTGTTGTTGTAGGAATGATTTTGAAGACCTTTTTGACATTATAATCACAAATGCCCTGAAACCTGGTTTCTTTTCTCAGACACCAAATCAAAGACCTTTCCGGACTCTGGGTAAGCTAGAATTAAGCATATTAATATGGAGGTCAGCAAAGTAAAGTTGTAAGCAACTTTACTGGCCATCTGATAGTTGTCCTCCTTTTATTTTATCTTATTCTTTTTCACATTAGAGCTGCCCAAATTCCTAAAATATCTGGAGAGCATACTGTTTCTAGTATGAGTGGGGAAGACATTTGTTTGGCTCGCTTGTTTGTATTAAAAGTGGGGAGGGGATAAACCTGCAGTTCCAAAGCTAATAGGTAAACAAAAATGCAGTGAGCCTTTGCTTTAACACTTCTCTGAATTGCATACCAAAATGCCTGAGTTTGGGAAAAGAGAAAAGAAAAACATATTCAAACACATATACAGACCTTTCACCAAAATATCTGCCAACAAATGCAAGGGGGAAAAAAGATTAAATGAACTTGTGCTTCAAATTCAAATATTGAAGAAAGGGAAGCCAAAAAAAGTGTGTATACATGTTTAATCTATCCTGGTTAAGAAACTTCTGATTAGACACACAAGATGACATACATTAGAATTATATAATGTTTTTATGCATGCAAAGAACTTAATTCTGTTTATGTTAGTTGAAGCAGAATAGTGAATCATACAAAGCAGATATTGAGAATGATGTGAAAGACCTGACAGTTTAAATTGTTCTACCAGAGAAGCTAATAAACAATGTAGTATTATGTCAACATGGTTCAGACTCAATAAAATAATTTTTGATTTTTCAACCTTACTTAGGCCTCTATAAATATAAAATATTTTATTGGCATAAACAGAAGTTTAAAAATCATATCCATATGAATGATTTGAACATCTTTTTGTTGTCACTATGGGTCAAATAATTACGGCTAGGAATTTTAGGCAACTTCTAAAATCTTTATTGAATTGGATAATATCCCACCTAAATCTGATGCTTGTGTATGGAAAACGTAATAAGTTTATATGCTGGAGGTTAAATATGAGTAATGTGGTAACTTTGAAATCCTCAGCAATAACTCATTTTCTTTTCAATTGCACATGGAAGTTGCTCCTGGTTAGATTTTTTTTTTTTTGGGATACCTTTAAAATTTTGTTTCTATTATTTGTATCCAACTTGCCTTAAAATACGCTTTGTATAGGAGTTTCAGTCTCTCCTACTGGAAATTCAAATAAAGCATAACAAAGAACAGGGGTCCCAAATCCCTGGACCATAGCCCACTACCAGACTGTGGCCTATTCACAACTGGGCCGCGCCAGCAGCAGACAGAAGCACACATGCAGTTCAGCTTGTGCAAGTTGAGCTGTGCATGCATGTGTGTGCGCACCAGACCATTTCTGTTTTAGTTTTAAGACAGGTGTGTCAAACTCATGGTGTCACATTGTCATCACGTGACGTATCATAACTTTTTTCCCCTTTGCTAAACCGGGGGTGGCCTGTGTATGACGCATCCGGGCTGCAAGTTTGACTTCTAAGAAATAGGACAGATTTTATATTGACCACAGATACAGGAAACCTAGGGAGTCCCAAATGTAATGCCTTTAGCAGGAATAGAATGCCACGTGTTGACCGAACAATATTGTACATTTCTAAAGCTGAGTAATGTATTTTAAGATGTTTACATTAAGATAGTCAGGTGGAAAATGTTATTTGCAGGGACATGCTTGGTTACCGCATTAGAACATAATAATTATATATATTATTATCATGGATTAGAGAACAAACGAAAGTAAACAATATCATCAAGAAAGTAAAAGAATTGAAATAGAAATGTGCTGGTCACATAACAAGAAGGACTGATGGCAGGTGGACCAAGGCACTTGTAGAATGGATCCTACTTGATAAAAAGAGTCCACAAAAGAAACCTAAAAGAAGATAGAGTGACAACATCAGCAAGTATTGTGGGACCAATTGGCAAAAGAAAGCTCAGGATCGTATTGGTTGGAAACATGTGGAAGAGGTCTTCATTCTGCAATGGACAGAAAACGGCTAAAATGACAATGATGATTATATTTATATTAGCAAATCCCTGAATGAAATTTGCAGCATAAAGGAGAGTTTCATATACATGTGCTTGCATTGGCAAGCTCAAGGGGATAGAAGAAAGTAATTCTAGCTGGATCACTGATCTTTCTAGAACTGAAATTCAAGTAAACAAGGGTTAATACAATATTTTTCTTTTTATTCATAAAAAGTCAGCGTGGTATAGTAGTTAAGGTATTGGACTAGAACTAGAGACATTCAGGTTCAAATCCTGCCCTCAACCATAGGAACTCACTGGATGATTTTGGCCTAGTCACTTCATCTCAACTCAGCACACCACAGAGAGTTGTTTCTAGAAAGAAAAATTGAAGGAGTTGCCTTGAGGTCCTGGAGAAACAACTCCATATAAATAACAAAAGATAAGAGTTTCCTCTTACTTGTAAGAAGGACTGAAATCCAACAGAGACTCCCACTGGAGAAATATTGAATAAGTAAAAGTTATTCTCTCTGCAGCTTTGCATGCATTTCATACAGTGTCAGACGACTTCTTAAGTTTTGAAATAATTTCTAAGATAGTGAAAGGGCAGGAATTAGTAAACATCTCCTTCCTGTCTTAACAGGCCCATCCAAGGACAGTAGAGTCATAGATTCCAACATACCATGCTGTATTTAATACTGTACATTTTTCTACCATATTCTGCCAGCGATTTCTCCATTAAATCTAACTATCAACCCCCCTATGCGCACACACGATATAAACAGCTGTGTTTCATATTAAATGTTACATTTGGCATTAGAGCAATAAAAAAGTTATGCAAAATCCCTTAAATTGTTATTTCATCTAAAGACACAATATTCTTTTTTGAGGTCTGAGTACATGTCTAGCTTATTCAACCAAGTGTTCCTAAAATAAATGTTCCATTAAGGACAAAAAGGACTTCACTTGAGAAAGCTACAGTATCAAAAGTTCCTTATAATCAAGTTATAATCCACATTAGTGGAGTTCTTAGGCTGTCTAAGCTTAGTTATTTGCTTGTAAATGATTCGTTATCTGACTAGGTACCATCATCAATGCTAGTGAGTATGGGGTTTGTTTCCTGTTATATACAGTAGTTTACCCTGCCAGGGGCAGGGCAATAGCCAAAGAAGAAAAAACAGGAGTCGTGTACAATAGACAAGAGTTGTAACAGCTATTATGTAGGATAGTCAGGCAAAAGACTGGCAGAGTATATTGATGATCACCAATTTGCAGACAAGAGTGAAGATTCCTTAATCTCATAACACAGACACAGACTTGACCATAGTTTCAGCTCAGAAACTGTGAGCATTATATACTAACTAAATCCAAAAAATCGCTAGGGAATCCTGGAAGCTTGGCATTTGAACAATTTAGCCCTCGATAGTCACACAGACATAAACACACCATTCAAAAGAGACAATAGAAACACTAAGAGGGAAACAAAAAAAACCCATAACATACTCTCTCTAGCATCCAGTTAAGCAGGGATTAACACCAGATAAACAAGCAGAAAACAATAACTAATCCAAAAATTACCAAAGACAAAATCACACATACATTCACGTCAACATTGGCAGGGCAAACTACTGTATATAGCAAACCCTGACCACCATTCACTAGCACTGATGATAAAACATTGGCAATAAAACATCTCAGAGAGCACCAAGAACTCAGTTCAACCCAAAGCGACATGTATTCTCTTGTAGTGGCCCGCAACCTTTGCAGCTAGGCAGAGGTGGGGAGAGGGGAATCGGGCCAGGCGAGCGGTGAATTGACGTGCATGCACACATGTACGCAGCTTGACCTGCGCAAGTTCAGCTGCATATGGCTGTGCACGTGTGCTGCCCTGTGGCTCATGCAAGTAGAGCTGCATGCATGTGCGCCAGCCTGCCACCCACATAGCCCGATTCCAAATAAGCCACAGCCCAGTAGTGGGCCGCAGCCTGGGGGTTGGGGACCCCTGGATTACAGGATCCTGATCACTAGTTTTGTGTGCATTATTTAGAAGCCAGCTTCTTTCTTTCATATAGCCAGCTACTTATTTCCATTTTCTAGAGTAGCCACATTTTTTTTCAACTATATACAAATGCGTGAAGGAGGCACACGCGAGGATAGAGAGAGAGCGCATGTGTGCTCGCATTTGCAAGCCGGTAGCGAAGGTAAGTGAATACTACCCCTGATCATTTTGGTATATTCTCTTTTTTTTAATTAACATTTTTATTGAGTTGTAAGATATAAAATACAAAATACAAAGTAAATAGAAAAGCAGTTAATGTTTAATGCCTTATTTTATTGTAACAGAGAGAGTCAGAAATCAGTGCTTTTTCTTTTTCTTTCTAATCTTTCCCCCATTTGATATATTCTCAAAAATTAAATTTGTTTAATGTGTCTTTAGTTATTTCAGAGGTGTGCTTTTTTATTTCTTGTATTTTCAGTAAAATAGATAAATTTCCTTTATTACTTCAGAGAATGATGAAGAACAAGAAGCTCTTCCAACTCTGGACAAACCTGGCTGGTATTCCCAAGGCAACTCAACCCATTTGTGTGAGTTACTGAAGAAGATGACTGGCAAAGTAGAACCAAAGGTATTTTAAAAAACAGACGTGAAGGCATGACAGCAGAGCCTCCTCATAAGAAGGCTTCTCAACATCAACACAAATTCATCTTATTAGACACCAATTTTTAGAGATCTAGAAGTAAGCCATAGTAATAACAATTATATAAATATCATCGGCTAACAGGAAATACAAGCAAACTTCATATTCCTTTTTAATATTTAATACAAGATGGGTTTGGCTTAATTTAATGCATGAGTACCTTTCAAAGAAATTCCAATTGTGTTTTAATGTACTTTATTCTCAAGCCTGTGTCCATTACATTGCAAGCTTAATTAGTAATTATTAACATGTTTTAAGTCAGGGATAATAGAAATTATGTAATTTGGAATTTACTGGTAGATCCTAAGTGGTTTGCAGATGATCAGCAAAGACTCATGCACTGAACGTTCAAATACAGCTATTTATTTATTAGATGAAATTGTTGTGTTTCCTTATTTCCAGATCGTTTACTTTGGTGATAGCATGCACTCAGATATTTTCTCAGCTCATCACTATAGTAACTGGGAGACTGTCCTTATTTTAGAAGAACTTGGAGGAGATGGTGCTTTGGTACTTACAGAGTCACAGTCTGAACCCTTAGAGAAGAAAGGAAAGTATGAGGTAAGGATAATCTGGTATAACTCAGCTCCTCCATTATGGGAGGGGTTGACATAGCATTTTGAAAACCACTAAAGGTAGTCCTCAACTTAAAACAATTCATTTAGTGACTGTTCAAAGTTGCAAGGTCGCTGAAAAAAGTGACTTATGATTGTTATTCACACTTATGACTGGTGCAAGTCACATGATCAAAATTCAGACTCTTGACAACTGGCTTTATTGTAGTAAAGATATAAGTGCTTATCAGATATTAGACGTCTGGGAAACCTCTTGTCTTAATTCTCAGCAGCTTTCGACCTGTAGGACATATAATAGATCATCAGGATGCTGGCAGTTTTAGTTCAGCAAATTTTTAAAAGGCCACAGATTTATGGTAACCTTCCCCGAATGGTTTCATATACAGATCTAAGCATTATTTTTGTGCATTAAAAACATAGTTTCAGTGATTAAAATGTTTCCATTGGGTTATGTTTCAGAGATATTTCCTTGCCTAAAAAGAGAAGCAAAATGATCATGGGTGGGCAAAAAAAACAATAAGAATAAAAGTGACTTCTGCCTTCCTGCCAGTTTCCCCATTGAATTTCCTTGTGGGACACTATCAGGGAGGATTAGAAACCTACCTACCTACCTACCTACCTACCTACCTACCTACCTTCCTTCCTTCCTTCCTTCCTTCCTTCCTTCCTTCCTTCCTTCCTTCAACCGGTTACAGGTCATGTGACCATCTTTTATGATCTTCTAACAAGCAAAATCAAAGGAGAAGCCACATTCACTTGCTGCCTCCTCAGCAAATAGAGGATAACTGTCTACTTCACAAAGTCGTAGAACAACTAAAGAAGTAAAAAAAAACTGGTATACATTATATGCCCTAAAATAAATTAGAATTTTGCTTAACAATTCTCTTGTATTATTGCCTTTCATGTCGTTATAAATGTATTTTTTCCTTTTGTTTTATTCCTGAAGAAGTACATCAAAGTAGAAAGATGAATGAACTATGTTCAGCTACGGCTTCCTTCCTGTCTTTTGCAAAACTAGGAAAGAAAAGACACATACTCTTATTTAAAATAACACTTGCAGCACAGAATAATAAGTATGCTTTATGCCTTTCAGGAAGAATGCCCTGGTTTGTTCAAAGACATTTTGTAGTGACTTCTGTACAAAGTTTATTTTAAGATTATTTCAATCTCTCTGGGTTTAACTGTATAGGAATGGGAGAAGGACAGTTTTCTATTCTTTCTGTAAAAAAGCAATTTGTTTCACAAGAGCCAGTTCTTGTCACATTAATTTATATTTCAGTCAGTAATACTGGTGGTAGTACATGATACAGATTAATTGTAGGTCTCCCCTCAGTCAAAGATAAATGATTTTCACCCAGTCACTCTGACCCCAATTTATCCTACAAAATTGTTGCAGGGATAAAAATGAAGGGTGACTCTGAAGCTATGATCACTGATAAACTAAATCACCTTGAGCTACGGACCTTAATCTGTTGTGTGTCATTCTATAATTCGTAATGGCATTATTAAATTCATTTGAATGTTTATTTAAAATAGATTCTGTTCCAGTGTTTTGGTTTTGAGCTAGCTAAATTGAAAAATAATGTGCAATAAGTCATTACGTTAACTATTATATGGCAGCTCCAGTGCACACAAGTGGGGAGCCCTCATCATTCTGTTGAGTGTCCTCGTGTCCAAAGACTTTTCATTTCTCTTCAGTGAATGAGCTCAGAGGGCAGGCAACAGAAAAGACACAGAAGAAACAGGAGTACCAGCCCTTTGGCAGGTCAAGAGGTTTGGACTCCATTTCTCTCCTCTTATTAACATTGACACAGTATTGTCAGCTGGAACTGGAGAAAAGAGGAGAACCATCAGAACATCATGCCCATGTTGTAGTCAGTCAAAAGGATAGACTGATTGATGGTATCGAAGGCCACTGAGAGATCAAAGGAGATTTGTTTGTTTGTTTGTTTGTTTACTAAATTTAAAAACAACTCATCTCTCTCACGGAGGGACTCTAGCAGTGGTGGGATTCAAACATTTTTACTACCGGTTCGGTGGGCATGGCTTGGTGGGCGTGGCAGGGAAAGGATACTGTAAAATTTATTTATTCATTTTATTAATTTTTTATACTGCCCTTCTCCTGCTGGACTCAGGGCGGTGCACAGCCTAGAATAAAAAACATCCCAATACAAAATTTAAAATTTTTAAAAGAATTAAACAAATTTTGGCCCAAAATTTAAAACCTCCCGACTAAAACCATTTACAATTAAAAATATCTTAAAGGGGGGGAGGGTTACGCCAGCCCAGCTTGATGAAATAGAAGAGTTTTGAGGGCATGGCGAAAAGCCCGGAGATCTGGTATCGTACGTATCTCCGGGGGCAGGTCGTTCCAGAGGGCAGGTGCTGCCACAGAGAAGGCCCTCCCCCTGGGGGTCGCCAGCCGACATTGCCTGGCTGATGGCACCCTGAGGAGTCCCTCTCTGTGGGAGCGAACTGGCCAGTGGGAGGCTATCAGCGGCAGAAGGCGGACCCATAAGTACCCAGGCCCTATGCCATGGAGCGCTTTAAAGGTGGTAACCAACACCTTGAAGCGCACCCGGAAGACCACCGGAAGCCAATGCAGCTCGCGCAAGAGGGGTGTCACATGGGAGGGCCCCATCGCTCCCATAATCCCCCACACGGCCGCATTCTGCACCAGTTGGAGCCTCCGGGTGCTCCTCAAGGGTAGCCCCATGTAGAGAGCATTGCAGTAGTCCAGGCGGGAAGTGACGAGTGGCTGAGTGACTGTGCGTAAGGAGTCCCGATCCAGAAAGGGACGCAACTCGCAAACTGATGAAAAGCCCCCCTGGCCTCGGCCATCATATGCTCTTCTAAAGACAGCCGTGCATACAGGAGGACGCCCAAGTTGCGAGCCCTCTCCGTGGGGCCAGTAACTCGCCCCCAATAGCCAGCGATGGCACCAGCTGGCTATATTGGTACGCCGGAAGCCACAGCCACTCGGTCTTGGAAGGGTTGAGTTGAAGCCTGTTTCTCCCCATCCAGACCCGCACGGCCTCTAGGCACCGGGACATCACTTTAAGGGCATCGTTGGAATCTCCATTCCCTTCCCACTCCAGGGGAAGTTACTGAAAATCCCCATTTCCTCCTAATCAGCTGGGACTCGGGAGGCAGAGAATAGATGGGGGTGAAGCCAGTCAGAGTATTCAGAACCTGCTGAAACTCACCTCTGGACTCTAAGTAGTATACAAATAAAATATTAAAAACATTAAAACTCAATATAAAAATTTATAGAGGCAAGATTGCATGATCCCCATCCTAGCTCTACTAGATGTCTTGAACAAGTACACTCAGTGGTGTCTGAAACCCAGCTGAAAAGGATTCAGATAACTTATTTTCTACAAATCCCTCTGAATTTGCAACTCAGCCACGTTCTCAACAGCTTTCCCCAGAAAACGGGAAAGATAGACCAAACAAAAGTGGCCAAACTTTTTATGTCCAGCAATGGTGTTTTAGGGAGGGGGTACACCACACCTCGTACCAGATAGGTAGAACCATTCCATCTCTCACAGAAGTAACCACTGCATGGATCCAACCATGTAACCTGCCAGGGGGCCTTGGGTGGCCAGATTAACAAGGCTCTTGTCCGTTACTTTAGGAGTAACCAGATCAAATCTTCCCAGGTAACTAAACAAGGCCATGCCTCAGTTCTTCAACCCAGATCTGCCTCAAATCCAACTTTGAACAGATCTGTGTTGATATGACATATGCCTAGAATATTTTTTACAACAGCCCTCTAGATGTTCTTATGGTCCCTCCCTCCCTTGCAGGAAACAGTTTGCCTAAAAAAGAGCTGCTGGCTGTATAGACAAAATAACAGCAGACAAATTAATACATTTTGCACGTTTATTATTACCGTGAAATCCCTAATATATACAAGTCATATAAGAAAAAAATGTCACATCAGAATTTCTTTAATGCAGTGGAAGTGATTGAATTTTGAGATGTGGTCTTTTCTTATGCCTGGGGGAAATTCCAGAGTTTCTTGACTGACTTTGTTATTGGGACTTTCCTGAGCATTCACCAAGTTTCTTTTTGTGTGCCTAGTGCCTTGAATATTAGAGAGATCCCGTTTACATAGAAACCATATGAAACTATAAGAGCACATATGGATTTTATGTTTACTTTAGTGTTTGTTTATATTCCAGGGACGTCAACCCAAAGCTCTCCATTCTGTTTCTAAACAGTGGGGTTCTTTCTTTGTGGATACTATTTCAAGAAAAGAAAATGAAGAGGAAGCCTTAGTAAATACATGGTCTTGCAAATCTGTTCATACTTACAGCACAATTACAATCCCAAGCATTGAAGCCATAGCAGGTAAGAATAATGATCCTAAACCAATCCCTGAAATTTTCAAACCATTAATTTTAAAGTCAAATTCATATTAGTGTCAGAATAATGTTGATGATTGGAATTCTAATGCTCTCCCCTGAATCTTTTATTGATTGGCAGCTCCGAGCTTACATTTTAGTAAATATTCATAAGTTTTTCCAGAGTAAATTCTACTGAAGCATGGTTTGAGATTGAGAAAGGGGAAAGAAAACAGTGAAGAGAAATCATTTGTATCTTCATTAAAGCATATTGATTTGCTCTCCACAAAAATGATTCCAATAGCAGAGCCATAAACAAAATATTTTACTTTTTTTCCTAAAATTAATGCTTTGTTATGTAAAACATCAAGTGATCTTGCATTGACAATCTCCATCTCCAATAATTAAGTTTTATTCCATAATCATAAACCATGTATTGACAAGAAGGAGGAATGGATATGGACTAAAATCCTTCGCTTATATTTTCTCTAAATGTATTGCTCCTTTCCATTTTAGCAGTTATTATTACTATTTAGAATAACAATAATAATAGTTGAATGTCAGAATAACAAGAGCCTACACAAAGGAGGGCCAATCCATCCCCAGTACGGCATGAGAATAATGCAACAATAAGAGAGTAGAAACATCCTTTGGAGATACCGGCAGCCACCATTGTTAAGTCCAATGGCTGTAAGAGTTGTGAAAATATTGCTGGTGCCCAGCTAGTCCTTGACTTATAACCTGATTTATAGCCTTCCAACAGTCTCTTGAGGACCGTTGGAAGTTAAGAAAGACTTCAAAAAAGACACTTATATTCCATTCTCAAAGTTATGACTACTACACACATGTGATCACATTTTGAGTTTTGGCAACAAAACTTTAAGACTGGTTGCCGCATGTTACTGCAATTTGCAATGATTTTTGCCCTTTTCCAGTAGAAAAACAGCAAAAAAAATATCCATTAGATATGCTGGATTTGTTTAACAACCATACGGCCAGCTTAACAACCATGTGATTTGTTTAACAATCATGGTGACTCACTTTACATTATAAAAACAATTATAAAATGGAATCCTGTCACATAGTGCCTCAACTTATGACTATAATTACTTACAAGTCTGAGTTCCACTGGGGTCATAAATCAAGGACTATCTGTAAAAGTCTGGCAGTGGTCATGCTGAACTAGTCCCGGCAAGGTGGTCGGGGGCTTGTCCAATAAGATCAGGTAGACTTTCTAAGTCCTGCACAAAACTTAAATGCGGTTTTTTTCAGTCACTGTTTTCTTTTCCCCTGAACTAGTAGGTAAGATTAGTACCATCCCAAAGTTGCTGGGTTTTAGAAAGCTATTAAACCTGGCTTTTCCAACAGACCTTTGAACAGAGTGATACGTTTCGGAGCTAATGTTATTGCTATGAATATTGTTTTATCTTGCAGTCTAAGTTTTTGCTTTAAAAGGAGTTCTTGTATGGTTCTTCATTGAAGAAATATAATGTGTTTGTGTGTATGTTTATATAAAACTTCATTTATGAAATAGGTTGTATAAGCTGCTCAGCATATCAAATTCTCAGGTTTTTCCTGGTGAACTGGTAGGCAATTTGGCCAAGACTTAGAATCTCTGCCTAGAATGGGAACTCACACTAGGAATTACATCATGGCAGTAAGAGTAAGCAAAATATTTCTTTTGTTCTCTTCACATCTGCTATCAGACACTTGGGACCTCTCTTTAAGGTGACCTGCTCCTTACTGGGGAAGGATACAAACCATCTGCAGGGCCATTGTCAAGAATTACATGTCCAGACTTAGAAGGATCCTCCATACAAAACATAAAAGATAGTATAAATTTTTGGCCAGACACAAGTTAATGCTTGCCCCTAAATTATGAGAACTCTGCTGTAAAGAGATTCCAAGTAGCATTTATTTACTGCACAAAAGAAATTAAAAGTAACGTTGCACAATATTTCTACCCACACTTTTTGACTTATCCTTTCAAAATAGTTGTTTTTAACCAAAAACAGACTTCTCTTTATCTCAGTTCTTTTAGTAGTCCCTTCTAGATTTCTAAGGTTTATGGTTCATTTAATAGTGGGGCTGCTAGGTTGACTAAAGGTGTCCCATTTTCTCTTCTCAGCCTCAGTTCTCAATTTGTCCCTTTATTTAAAAAGACAAACCATTTTTCCTTCTAGCAGAAAAGGAACAGGTTTAGGTAATCTCACTTTGTACATGACCCAAGGCATATAATTTTTCCTCCTACAGATAGATATAGGTTGGGGAAATCAGCCTGCAAGGATGTATACTAGAAATGTCTGTGCTTGTCTCAAAAGAAAGGCTGGCAAAGCAATTTTATAAAAACAGGTTTACAATACACAGTTTGATTGTTGTACTTAATGTTTAATTCATAAACTGCTCTGAGAACCATGACTCACAGAAGTTTTCAATAAAATAAGTTTAGCAATTACAGGAAGGCGCAGTCTGAAAACAGTGGTGAATGCCCTCAATGCACTACAGTTCTCTTCTCTAGGTACGAAGGGAATATGTATGTAACTGAAGCATGATTAAATGTACAAAAAGTATATATGGAATATGCATGATATTATATTGTAATATATACGAAAGAAAAAGTGCTAGAAAAGTATGTACCAGACAAGTCGCACCAAGTCTAATGTTTTTAAATTGTATATTTAATAAAATTATTTTTTTTTAAAAAAAAATGCACTACAGTTCTCATAATCCCCAACTAGCTTCTTTGATAGCCATGGCTGTCTGGGGAGATATGTAATCTGGAACATCTGATCAATGCAAAAGTACACATGCAATGTTATCAATTTAGCTTTATTGATAAGAAATTAGACTGATGAGGACAGGAATTAGCACTCCCACATAGAGTACTATTATGTCAGCTGATCCCCCAATGCCATCTAAAGCAGCGGCCTACAACCTTTCCAGCTCAGCGGGCCAGCAGGGGAGAGGGAATAGTTTTGTGCACACACCGCTTTCAGAAATAGTTTCGCTCACTACCCTCCGCCTCTGCGGCCTGGTTTCGAATGGGCTACAGCCCGGCAGTAGGCCATAGACTGGAGGTCGGGAATCCCTGATCTAAAGAATTCAGCAGAGCAGAAGGAAAAAGCCTTACATTTAAGTCTAGAAGCACAGAACTATGCTATGGACAAGTTTTATTTTCTTCATACTTCTCTGTGATTAAAAACGTTAAACTTGCTGAGTAATACTGGTGAGCATTCCATAGAATAGACCAGTTCATAAAAGTGGTTAAATCTCTAGAAAATCACAGTTAACAGTTGAGCCTATGTGAAGCCTGACTTTTTTTCAGTATTCTGCATGATCTTGAATGGTGGTGTTCAAATTGTTAAAACACCCGGTGTGTTCAGGCATGCATTATGAGTAGGGATAAAAAAAGATCAAAAAGACTTGGAATTTTTGCAGCGGGGAGCCTCATTTGGATCTTCTGAATATAGGATCGGATGTCTCAGTCATAACAAAATTCTGAAAATAAGGAAGTACTCAAAAATAAAGCATTTCTTTTTCAATCTTATGAGGAAGTGATGAAGTTGAGCAGAACTTCCTTATCATAAAATTGGGAGGGGGGGGGAGAAGCTGCAAGGCAGAAAAAGCTTCAAAAAGAATTGTGTGCGTGGCCTATGAAGACACATTAATATTTAGTGAGCAAAAAAAAATTGCATGCAAAAACATTTCAGTATCATTCTGTAATAATTGATCTAAGAAAAAATAGAGTGCTATCAGTTATTGAAACAAAATCAATTTTTCTTTTTCTGTTTTCTTTTAAGGACAAAATATTTGTATTAGTATTACTGAAATGGATCTTCCCCCATGTATTCTTACCCTAACTGCAGTATACCGGTAGATAGTTGTAGGACTACCATAACCAAAAAGCCATACCAGTGAAGGTCACCATTCATAGATACCACTCTAGAAACAAAATATTTCATTGTATTTCATTCTTCTTGTCCCCCAGAAACCTATGCAGGAGAATTATTAGTTTCACAGGTTTATCTTCCAACTCAGAATCAGGCACTTTTAGAAGGTACAGGCTAACCCTAGAGAAAATAAAAGTCATATTTAAATCAGTATTAATATATAAAATATCAGGCAAGCTGTATGAATATACATCCTACCAATATAAACATCAAGGTGGATGTTTACTGAAGATCTGTAGGGATAATGCTTACTAATAAGGGAGCAAAAGTAACAGCAAGTTATTCAAACCAAATTATTCCATTTTATAGATAAATGTAACTGAATGACCTTTCTCTAGACTTACATTATTGTGAAATTGGTAGAATTAGGCTTGGAATCAGAAAAGGGATAATATACAATATTCTTGTAAGCAATAACAATATATAATACATTCTTTTAAGAAGAACATTTGAGCTTATCTTCAATATTTACATTAGTTACCCATACAAATTATTCTGAACTTTAAAAGATCTAGATGCAACTAGTGTTCAGTTGCAGGCTAATTTGTTGTAAATAATATATCAATTTTTAATTATCAAAATAATTTAGAAGGTTTCCTAAAAATATTAGAAGAAATATGTTTTTGCTGATATTACTCTTTTTTCCAGACAATAGCTATGTAGCCACTATAATAATAACAACAACCATGGACACCTCAGTTTAATGATGTACTTTTTTATTGTAAGAAAAGAATGTCCAAGGTATAATATTGTAGGTATAATATGATTATGGGAAACATAATATTTCTCTTTTAAAATTAAGATTAAATAATTAATGCAAAGTATTATATATAATCCAAAATTAGTTTTCTGGGATATGCTAGCAAGTATATTATTTATTGTCATGGTTCATCCTTGCCTGCATAAGTGATACAATATGTTTAATTTGTCACTAAAAGATACATATTTCAAATTATCTATAATCATCTTTTGCTTTATTTTAAAGAATGATATTCACAGAAGGAAAAGCAAAACATTCATTTTTATATGCTCAAGCATGAAAACTCTAACCGGGGGTGTCAAACTGGCGGCCTGCTGGCCAGTTTCGTCACGCGCAGGCCACACCCACCCCAGCTCCACAAAGGGGAAAAACGTTGCAAAAGTCACATGATGGCAGCGTGATGCCGTGAGTTTGACACCCATGCTCTAAACACAAAACATGTAAGCTCGGGGCCTGATTAAATTGTTGCGATATTAAGCAAACAAATTAAAAAGCTTAAGAAACAAATATGTTTTTCTTTGGAGCTCCTGGGATTATTTAGATGTGATGTAAGTATAATTCCTAATCATATGTGTTTCTTTCAGATTTACCACTGGATTATCAATTTGCTAGATTTTCTTCAAATAGCTCTGTAACTACTGGTTACTACCCCAAACCTCCAAAGTCCTTATCAGGTGGTGAGCGAATGGCAACCAAATAAAACATCTTTAAAGAAAAGCAAATCTGAAACTTCATCATGCTTAAGCAAAAATGTTGGAAGCTACTGAGAATCATGCAAATTAAATACTATATAAATTCAAAAGACATTTGGAAAGACCTAACCAGGTTGAAGAAAAAGAAGCTTCCTATTTTCCTGTTGATTGTGCTATATCAATTTATTATCTAAAATCTTTTTTTCATTCTGTTTTCCGAAGATTTGCTGCAGACTTATATTCATATACTGGGTACCTTTGCCAGTTTATGCATTACATGACCACCTTGTATCCGTAATAACACAAAGGGAGCATGTGCCGTTAACCGTGAGCAATAGTCTATGCTAAGAAAGCTTTGTACATACTCAGTCGGGTGAGGTCCAATTCCTTCATTCTTCATACTGAAAAAAGTGGTATATATGTGTGACTAAATCTGATAGGTTTAGGATTTTGAGGATTATGCAGAAAACGCTGAATTCCTCTACAATGAGGAAGGATAATAGCCTTTCATTTCAAAATCTGATTAAATTTTGTAGCGTGAAATATATTTTTAATAATCTGAATTAGAATCCAAACCTGTCAAATTAAGTGAATCAACCTTTATAAAATCTGTTCTGACAAATATATTATTAACTTGTTTTTATGTTCAGAGAAAACATACAATTTTATATTTAAGCAGATTAAGATGCTGAACATTGTTTTGCTGCTACACATTTACCTAATCTATAAACTGCCTTCATCACTGGTATTGAAAAAAGCACATAGTTTACATCCCCTTTTGTGAGTTTACTTGCAGGATGGATTCTTTCTTACATCATCATTTTTTTTTTTATAAAAGGAAATCTGTAAGTATTTAGAAGGATGGCCTGGAATTCAAATTTGTAAAAAAAAAAAAAGAAGAAGAAGAAGAAGATAGTATATTGGGATTGTGAAATTATTCTGAGTCTTCTAAGATTCAAATATTAGTTTTTGCATTATTCTGATACTAGAATGTGCTTGTCTATTCTGAAGAGATTACTTTTCAAACCAGTTGAGTTTACTTTCTCATAAGTAGACATAGGATTGCAATTAAGACTGCAATCTTATGAGCATATAGGAATAAATGTTAGAGTTCATGTCTAAGTAAATAAGTCTAAGATTATACCATAAGCAAGCCAACGTTTATGTCCATTTGTGTTTTCTCAGTAAGATAAATCTCGGTATGTTGGATTACATTCAACTTTTCTTGCATGTGGACTACTCCCTCAGAAAGGGTGATCTGTTAGGATAAATCACAGTTCAAGGATCTGGTAGTATAAACTTGAAATGTCATGATTTCTGAAGCCTTCCATCTGCTTTGGCAGTTCTCATCTGTATGAAGTTGAAAATAAAGGTTATTTATTCTTGAGCGCCTCTGGATTCTGTTACTTATAGCAGAAAAAAAAAGAACCTGCTATGTGGAATGCAACAGTGGAACCAATCCATAGCTCCCTCTTCTTAATTCATTGAAAAATAAGATCACTTATCTCTTGAATCTGTGCCATTTTATTCACTCAACTCATCTCACATTTAAGCATTCTGGCAAGCTATATAATTTACTGAAGACTGCCAAATTAAGTAACTATTTAGGATGATGTAGTCAAATGAAGTTCCCCTTAATACATATATTTTCCTCCAAGACAGAAAACACAGCTCAGCTACAAACATTCATGGTATATTTTCCTGGAACAATGAAACATTAGACCTAAATAAAATTGAAACTTGTAAGGGGAAACAAACAGGCAGTTCCTAGAATATTTTTCCAGTAAGGTGGCAGCACCAGCTTTTTTTTACAAGCAGTCCAAATTCTGGTTCCAGCATGCCTAGAATACATGGTGAAGCTATATGGACATCTACTTAGAATTATATGGATATTTCTTAGGGTTAATTTGGTTTTTGACATGTGCTTTAGTACAAAACCACAGAGAGGTTTTTTTGAAGAACTGGTCAACAGATGTTATTCATAGAGGCAAACTTCTGAAGTTCTTTCAGTGCTATAACAAAAGCATTTTCAATGGAATCAGGATAAAATCCCTTTCCTTAGTCTGAGTTCAAACATGGGTCTCCCAACCCAACAAGTGAATTTCACATACTTGTCACTGGAAAGACGAAAACCAGGCTAACCACTTCTAAACATTTTAATGCTTAAGTTGCTTCTCCAAATTAAAGGCTAGAACACCCAAAATGACCATTATGCAACAGGGATATAAAAGCCAGTGCCATTCATGATTCCAATCTGTGTTAAACCAGACAACCCTTGAGTTTGGATAATCAATCCAAAGCACTTCATTCATTTAAACATTGTGATTTGGGAAAATAAGTCAAGATTGAATTTATCTATTTAGACAGGGAAGTCATCTGTTTCAAAGTCTTTTGCATTTGTATGCACATGTGTTTAAATAATTAATCCAGCTGTGCAAAGATAGACAAATAGAGGAACTTCATTTATAAAACAGATTTTAAAACTAATTTTAAGCAGGAAATTAAGTGATGCTACAGTTGGGTTGAAACACATTAATTTGATAGTTGTTGTCCCCTCGCTTCATGTGAATGAATGTACCACTGGCACATCTCCATTAGAATGAAAACCAGAGTTTGACATGATTAAAAGCTTTTGTGAAGCCAAAATGGATTTGGAGAATTATTTTACAAAGTTCAGTCTAATGGTAGAGTAACAATTAACCTTGAATAACAAGCATATTAGAGCTATGCTATTATAATTAGTGATGCATAGTTTGAGTGCCATTAAAATGCATATATTCTGGAATACAAACATATTGACACTGTAAGTATAGTATAATGGCTTAAGATGCTGAACAAAGTTAAAGTCCACTCTTCAATAGTGAAACTCTTTGAGTGATTATGGGCCTATCACTCTGCCCTACCTAACTCACAAGGTTACAGTTTTGGAGATAAAATAAAAGGTAGTCCCCATGCCTTGAGTTCTTGGAGAGTGACAGGATAGAAATCAAATAAATACATGGCATATAAGTGAATTATATTTGTCAGAAATTTACAAAGCCAAAAAGCCTCTTTACATGGTGGAGGGGTGTGCATTCACTTTCTCCCATTATATATCTAAGGTGGCATGAGAGAGGTAGGTCTAATGTATTATTTCCCATTCAAAAAAGGATAAAAAATGAAGTTTGTAAAAGTTACACAAATGCAGGAATGTCTATAAATAGACTTAACATAGGCAGTAGTTCTTTTTTTGAGGAAATATTAATTGACAGGCATACAGTAAGTTAAAAGGAGATGGCTTCCTTTCCAGATATATAGATCTGGATTGAAGCCATGGTTGAAATGAATAATTTTAATTAGTCTCCAAACAACAGGAAGCCCTGCAGTGCCAAATCTGAAAGTATACTATTCTGTGCTTCAACTCAAATCTTCTTTCAAGTTGAATAGATTCTTACTCAGACAATCACAAAGGCACAAGAGCAATAGATATTTAGCAAGTAGCCTCTAAAGTCTAGACACTATATCGTGGGTAGAGACAGCCTTACGCAGAAGAAGAAAATGGGGAAGTGTGATACACTTACATTACAACATACCCCTGTGTATTCAGGAGACAGATCTGTAAAGGGTTTTTTAGAGTATTCAGATGGATATGCTGACAAATGTTTGCATAAAAAAATAATATTTCACTATAAATTCAGACTAACAAAACATATGCTATAACATGTTTTGTTAATATAACAAATGTAATATCATGCAATTTAATGTAATACAATATAATATAGACGCTGGACTTGTCAGCTACAAAGGGTTGAGGGTTTGAGTCCCAAGCACTGTGCAGTGGCGTGAGTTCCTATTACTCACCCCAGCTCCGGCCCACCTAGCAGTTCAAAAGCATGTAAATGAGAGTAGATAAATAGGTACCACTTCAGTAAGGTTACTGTGTTCCATATTTTCATGCTGGTCACATTATGATGGAAGCATCTCTCAGACAATGCAGGCTCCCTCAGCTGAAATTTAGAGAAGAACACCACTCTCTTGAATCAGTCAAGACCAAACAACCTTTAATAACATTTTATGTCCAGACCAATAAACCATACTGTGGTTTAACATGATGGTAAGGGAATGGATTCTTACAACATATCAAATAACATCCACCCATATAAGGAGATAGCCAGGAGCCACTTCCATAGCAGCTGTGCCCAACAAGAAAATATTGTGTGCTTAAAATTAATCTGCCTACTTCAAAGACTTCTAGCAATCGTATCAAAAGCACAATCTTCCTCCATGTCTCCATAAAAAAGCGGGAGAGATTGTTTCAAGTGTCAGTAATGTGGAAAAAAAATGTGTGAAATCCCAACAACATTCCAGAACATTCCTTTATCAAAGGCAATACAAAAGACCATGTAAACAATTTATCAGTTTCAAAAATGTTCATAGGTAAGCTAAAGACCCATGTTTAATGTACAATATTCTCTGGTAATTGTAACAGGAAAAAAACTGATTTTAAAATATTTAACATTTAATATTTATTTTAACTATCTCTTTAATTCTAAAATCAAATGTTTTAAAACACTAAGTAAAATCATTAGAGCTATGAAAAAATAAAGACCTATACTTTCAATAAAGGCAACTTTATTGGTTGAATGGTGGGCAACAGTTCTACCACCAACCTGAAAGTTTACAGCTACAGATAAATCAGAATTACAATCAGAAAATATTGTTGATAGAGGATGATATTGTTTAAAAAATTCAAGCCAAATGTTTACTTAGAGTCATGACTCATTCTTATGTCACAAAGAGTTTGTTTTTAGTAGAGAACAAAATTCATTTCTACACACTCAATAAATGCACACTGCAATTTCCAAAAGCATTCATACATTGAGATTAAATAAGAGACCATAATTACACAGGGAAGCTTTTATTTCAGCATTTTTCAGTCTTTTGATCACCTAAAATTAAGAGACCAAAGTGAGTTGTTTCAGAAGATTAAGATTCTTTATAAATGACTTCATGTTGATTACTGAATTTTATCCAAAAGTGATACTATGCAGTTTTGATGGTAAATTATTGTAAACTGTACTCTAGACAGTTTCAGTAATAAATGTAGCTGTTTTATCAGCAGCTAAATACTGTTAGGGATAATTTGTGATTTTCCCAAAGCCTTGCAGCCTCTTTATCAGCAAAACAAAAAATGCTTTTAAAAGTTGCTTTAAAACTTCTAAACTTTGCCAAAGCTACAATTCTCAGAGACAAAAATGACAAAAATGCAAGAATCCAGCATGATTTTATTTCCCAAGCTTTTAACTCTTTTAATCTCATTCCCTCTTTTCTTGTTTAAAATGTTCTTCCCATAGAATAATTAATTTCAGCACTTCTTCCCTGACCAAAGATTTGGGGAAATAAAATCCTGTTGAATCCCATTTATTTGTAAAATTTGCCCCTGACAATTCCAAAACAGCAACAATAATAGCAGCTCTCCAGAGGCTACTTATAATTAAAATAATTTTTATGTAATACAATTCATGCACCTCTGGCAAATTTGCAAACTGTGGCCTGAATCACTTCAGATTGCAGGTTCATTCAGATTCATTGGATAAATGAAACTTATTGCACTTCCATTTTAAAAGGGTTTGACACCACTATATTTACATTAAAGAAAAACAAAGTTTTTCCCTCAGTAATAACTTTAGATTTGGAGATCATAGGAAAACATTTATATTCACTTGTAAAACTGAGGATAGGATTGAATGATATCCAATATGTGTTTTATAATAACTAACCTCATAACTACTATTGAAATGTGAAATCTTTAAGACCAGGTTGGATATTGTTTTCCAGAGATAATTTTATCTTCCTCCAGTTGTATTGAGCTTGCTGATGTGGCACTGTATTCTTGCCTGCAAAAATGAGTTGAGATATTTCCCTTCATCTGACTGATTATTGGCTTCAAGCTTAAAATTTGCTAAGGAAGGGGAAGGAGGGGGGAGAAAGGAGGAGAGAGGGGAAAGGGAAATGAAATCAGTTAAATTTCACAAGATGAGGCATTTTCTTTGCACTTTTCACTATTTCAATTTTATATCAGAAAAAATGATATAAAAAGCCAGAGGCAATGATAAAAGTATGAAGGACACATGTGAAGATGTATGAAGGATTTTGGAATGCATTCATGGCACAGCTACATAAGCACACAGAGAAGCATAAAAGACTGATTTAATTCCATTTATAGTTCTATAAACTGAGATTGTGATTTTATGGACAAATAAATCGAAGGAAAATAGTTGGATATCAGGCCGTGATAATTTCCAGGTGAAATTACAATGAGAAGTTATAAAGATGGATGCCTTTGTAAGATGGAAGAGTTCAGAACATGACATTGGTATACAGTATCCGTGACAACCATCACATATA